TCTTTCTCTACAGCTTTCTTGTGATGCATATGGTAGCAAACAAAGTAGATCTCCAGCGGAAGAGGTGCCTTTCTGTTTGGCATCTATTCCAATGTCTGACAGTTGAGGGGAGGGCGTTTGCCTGGACCAGTACCTAGAATCATCTCCACTTCAGCAAACATTAATTGAGCACATACCCTGCATAAGCAGCACAGGAACCCTCCTGGGCACATACAGATAAACCCCAGGGAAAGTAGGACAAGAGTACCACACTCCACCAACACAAGGCCTACTGCGTCCAGCACCCTAGAGTTACGAATAAATTGCTATGAAAGCCTGAACAGAACAGGTCATATCCAGGTGGAAGAACCAGGATGATCCTGCAGTGAAAAAAAAATTTGAGCTGAACCATAACAGATACTAGAATCCAGATGGGGAGATGGGAGGTGATATTAACAGCCAACAAAATGATATGAAGAAACAGCCCCAAAATGAGCAAGCAGGAGGGATGTCTGGGAGCAGGTGAGGTGCAGGGAAAGCAGAGGAGGGCTAGACAGGTGCTGCCAGGGCCCAAGGCCGAAGCAGGAGAAGCCTGGAGTGGGAGCTGGGAGGGGCTGAACACTGGGCCCAGGGAACTGTGGAGAGGGAGGGGTGACAAACCCTTTGTCCTGATAGGCATGAGGGAAAGAAAGGAATAAGACACAGAGAAGAAACCCCATGAGGATGGAAACATGGAATTTAACAAGGCAGCAACCAACCCGCAATGAGGCTAGCAACAAACACACTGAAATCGGACACAGAACTCTGAATGCCCGCCCTAGGCAGCACTGCACTGCCTCCTCTCAGACCCGTCCCTGGTTCCACATGTGTAACAGGAGTGTCTAATAAGCACTCTGCATGCAGGTCAGCAGGAGCTGGGGGCCGGGGGGGAAACGGAGAGCTTAGTCTCCTGCTTGACATCCCCTTACCCCCAAACCATAGTTTCCTCTAAAACATGGGGACACCAACTAGAACCCATCTCAAATGACTGCTGATAGTTTCAACGAGACTACACATGCTTAGGATGGCGCTTGGCACCCAGGGCTACTGTCAACATCAGTCTTCATTCCTGCGTGAGAGCCACAGGCTCCAGGAAGCCTGGCCCCCTCTGCAGTGCTGTATCTGCTACAGGCAAAGGGCCTAGGTCTGCAAATAACTTACACGATGGGTGGATTTTTCTGCACTTTTTGGCTTGAGAATGCAAGGAATTCACTCCCTTTTCTCATGAACCAGATGCCCCGACTCACTTGGCACTGCAGCCACTGTCCTCAGGAAGCCTGGAGGATGCACACCCTGACCACAGACTGCTCTCCTCCTGCCCCATCTGCTGTCATAAAATCAGCTTGTTTGCTTTTCTCCTGACCCTCACTCCATTAAAGATTTAAATCACTTAAACACATATAATGAAGTGGGGAAGAACTGGATTTAATTAGGATTAGGAAAATTGCAGCTGACACAGAAATTCAGGAGCAGGGAAATGTATCTGAGCCAGACTGGGCACCCTCAGCAGGTCAGAGGGAGGCTTGCCCACAGTCAGGATACAGCTTATCCACGGAGAAAAAGCATTTGCCAATTTCTCGAGGGAAGCAGAAACGCTTCCTAGTATTCACATCTGAAAGATATTTCTCACTCAAGTCTTCCTCTAGGTGACTTCAACGATAAAGTGCTTTGCTACTCTAAGGGGCTCGGGGAGCCAGAGCCTCCCCAGGCCCTGTTATATTGGACAACACCCCTACCCCCACCGTTCACCCACTGCCACTCAGTGAGAGAACACGAGTCACCTGTTTCTGTGGAACAGAGAAATGGGATGCACATTAACATCACTGCAAAATCAAACTAGTGGTTTTTAAAACTTTCCTGGGGGGGGGGGGAAATTTTTGGGCATTTTAAAATAGGAAAATTAAAAAAAAAAAAAAAA